TGTCTTTTTTATTTAAGTGGCTGAAGATCAAAACCACTGTGATGTAAAAATATGTAAATGTACTGAAATTTTAAAATCCAAAGTTTATTGAAAATACTTTAATATATTACATCACAACAACAACCACACTGCTGTGTCTTTTTTACTGCAAAGTTCTAGAGGTGAACCTCTACAGACAGATTTCTGCACATGACCATAGAGAACAATCAGGTCATAAAACTTATTTTTGTTATACTGAAACAGTTTTTCTGATAGCTATTGGTTACATGGAAATCTCTGTGCTGTTGAACTTAACAATCAGAGGCTGCAGACAGAAAATGGCTGGGGGGAGAGTGTTAACACCAACAGGAAACTGGTAGAATCTGTTATTTTTGTGCGTCGTTGTCAGGCAGAATATTTCCTGTCTGCTGAGTTTTAGCCTTACTGTTGTTCAATTGGCTTATTTTAGTCAGCTGTCTCCTGTCACAGAGTATAGTGAGATGTAATGCGTCTGTCTAATTGGGCACTTCTGAAAAAGCCAAACTATGACTGTCTAATATAGACAGATTATACTGAGGATAAAATATTTCTGTATAAAACAAGTTTATAGGTTATTACTGCAGGCTTCCAAGCAAGACTCTCAACTGCTGTGATCACAAGTGAAGTGAATTACCCATGAGCCACAACTGTTGAGCCAGCCAAGTGTAACACAAGCTGATGACTCTGCAGCTTTACTTGTGACACAATGCATATGTTCACAGAAACATCAAACCCTACACATTGCTGTGCAACATTGGTATATTAATCTCTTAAATATAAAATAAACACACACAAGATAAAGATGGTTCATCTCAGTCACTTAGAGCAAGAAATACTACAAGCAGAGCTTTTATTTTTCAAGATTGAGCTGGGCAGAGCTGGGCCGACTCTCTCAGGCCCCCTGACCCTTCCACCATGTGCTCTGCCTCTGCACCTGGTTTACCTTTACTTTAAACTTAAATAACAAAGAGTGCAGCATTTCAAAGACAGACTGGGCCTATATGTATATATATATACCTTAACCCTGTACAGTTGCAGGGTTAGCATCCAGTTTGTTGTACAGGTAAGCAAACCTATATTTCAGCTAATGGAAATTAGCTCACAATCTAGTGGCAAGTATTTTTTTTCTAATTTACTAACATAACACAGATGCTAACACACTACAGTTATGACTGCATTTAATTTTCTTCCTTTTGCACCAAATGTAATCACATACAGATGCTTTAATCTTGGCTCAGTAGTGGTGACATTAAATTGAACTACAAGACTGATATTTACATATTTTCCAAAATGGCTGCCCAGAATTACAGCATGTACATTTTGTGAAGAAAACATCAGCCTTGCTGGCCTTCTCTTTCAGCATATACCCTGGAATACCTAACTAGGTGGTTAGTTAAAATGATAAGCTACAATTTCTGTGAAAAGGTCGACACTTTTCCTTGACAAATCAAGTTATTTTTAGATGCTTGTCTTGAAGTTGTTAAAACACACCCATCCACTTTCTGCACATGTGCTGCTTTGATTTTTGTGTTTTTCTGATGACAGCCTTTGTGTGTAAGCAGGGCCATCCATGAGGGAGGAAAGAGGGGAAATGTTTTCTGGGGTGCAGCTGATTGGGGACCGGTGAAGGCAAGGTATAACGTTGCCTGATCTAAATCAATGCAAAAAAAAAAAATGAACTTAACATAAAATACATACCATATTTTAATATTGCTTGATGAAAGTGAGGGACTTCAGTTTGTGTCCGTTTTGGTGACCCCTGTGGATAAAGTAGTGCCTTTTATCTTTTCCTTAATTGTGAAGAATGTGATCTTGTCCTATATGTATAAGTAACGTTTTCAGAACGAAACAAAAACCTCCACCTGCTGTCTTTTAACAGTCAACTGTATCATTTACTGGGAATCTTTATAATAATAATAATAGACTTTATTTGGCATGGACGTCACAGATACATAGGACGAACCAGATGCATTGTTTAAGTGTTTTAGCAAGCATGCTAGTTCTCAACACCTGTCCACAGGACGTTGGAAAATGTAGATAAAAAGGATATTTCTGTATTTTGATGTTTTTGTTTATTGCCTCGACTGACTTCTACCCCCCGCTCAAAGTTTACAGGCATTTAATATAACAGTTTAAAAATAATTGTTTTTGTCCCTGATGGCCTGGTTTTCTTTCACAGGTCTTTAAGAGGCAACAGCTTTGATTTCAGGTTATTTCATAACCAGATAAAAACTCTTCACATGAGCTTTAAAATGTTGCAAAAATGTAAATACCCTATTTTGAAAAGTGTGTCGTCAAAATGTTATAATTTGAACTCAACTAGCAGGCTAGCTATGCAGATAAAAAACTAAGAAAGCACTGGTTGGTAGGGGTTGTGATTGGCTATGCTTGTAGAGATTAGGCACATGCATTGATGTGAATAATTTACTTTCTCTCAGGGGTCCATTTATTTCTGTGGGCAGTGTAAAGGCTATGTCTAGAAACAAAATGAAGCCAACCTAAAGGTAAATACAACTTGAGAACTGTACATGAGGTGTGTTTATTGGTCATTTCGATGAAGAAAAGTCTTCTCTGTGTGTAATACTTTCTCTTAAACGAGTACTCAAACGTACCCAGAAACGTGTCATTTCTGTCAGCAGGTCTTTTAACCCTCTTCTGTGCCTCTCCAGTGATTTGAAGTGAAATTGACAGCACTGATATGGAAGGTGGTGGTTTAAGGGTGTGTCGGGAACACACGGGTAGAAAAGGGCAATTTTGATGTCAAGCATGAGAGGATTTGTGCTTGCATCACCTGCCTGCTCGCAGCAGGGGGGTTTTAACCATGGCTGGTTGCCTTCAAGCTGAGTTCAGAAAGCTGCAAGGTCACTTTGCAGGACAAACTTAACCAAAGTAACTCAAGGTGGATCATCTACAAACACTTTTAAATCCTCGTTTTCTGAAATGGAAACTGAGTGTGAAACAGAGGAAAACACAGAGTACTGCACTTACTTCAGACTGTCGGGTACATCTAGAATAGTGTGAATATATTGATAATAACTTCAGAGAAAAGGGAGAAAAACTGTGTTTTAAGATGACGTGAGGATGTGTAAGGTTAACTTCATATACTGACTGGCTTATTTGTGTTGTTAAAGGAAGGTTGTGCGATATTTTACACATGGGTATAGCAGATATCAAGAATATAGCCTACTCTGTATCTGAGTCATGACTGTCGATAAAGAGTGATAAGCTCGAGTCCCGCAGGCTGTGTTGTTGTGAGAGCCGTGTTTACATCATGTTTACGTGGACGGTACAACCTTGTGTTTTAAGCTGTTTAAATCCAGGGCTAGAGAAAAGAAGAGGAACATACTCACTGCTTATTTGGATGTCATGTAAGTGTCTTTAGATCACAGTCATTCTACGTCAATTTATGTGCAATATTAAGCTGTGAGTTAACCAAAGCATGCTAAAATTAGCCTGCTAACACATCAATGCAGGCCAACAGCAATTGCAGCTCGAGCAAAGGACAATTTAATGTTGCTTAATTATGGAGTGTAACATTGAATGTTGAACTCCTTGTGCGAACGTGAATGGAGAGGGGTTGGAGGTGTGTCTCTGGAGGAGAGTGGAGGCTTCAGAATAGCGGAGGTGTCGCCAAACAGCAGTTTGTTTTGGTTTCATGCTGGTGCTCAAGGGCGACATCTACTGAATCAAAAAGTCACACATTCTTCCTTTAAAATTGTGAATGGAAAATAGTGTAGTTTTAATAAGAGCATTTCAACATTCAAACGTCACATTTCTTTATATTTTGGGGAACATATCTTGGAGTCATTAAAATGAAATGGCAGTCTGAAAAACTGTCTGATGGCTGCAGTATAATGTAGAACATTTAACATTTAAAGGGATTGTTTTGACACTGTAATGTTCAGATTGCAACATCTATATAAAATCTATACAAGAAATACTCTAGTAAAAGATTAAGATGCTGTTACTAAACAGAAACTTTCCAAAGCAAGCAGGTGCCGCCGGCCGCTACGCTGATCTAGGGATTTCTATTAATTCAATTAGCCTTTGGTCTTTTGAAGGTTAGGTTCAAATATTTGTCTGGTTGTATATTTGTTTAACACACCAGAAAATGCACAAACTAATCAATCAACAAAGCGGTAGACCAGCAACTCCTACTGTTCACAGTAAACCTTTTAGTCTATACGTGGGCTTGAAGAGACCGTTGAAATGGCTTTTCAGTTTAAAATAAATATGGTATGCCGGTAGCCTGGCCGTCTTCAAGAGCAGGCAGCCCAGGTTAGAATCCAAACTCTGGCTCCTTTCCTGCACGTCTTTCTCCGATCTCTCTCTCCTCGATTTCTGTCTCCATCCACTGTTCTATCTCTAGATTAATCTTCGATTGCCTAAGATTGGCGTCCCAGTCTGTGAATTCAAATTTCCGTTTGGGAGACCAGGGCCCAGCGGGAGCTCCACATGTAGGCCCCTTCACACAGTTAGACATGCACAGGGCAGTACAGCACGATCCTGTCTCGCCACTGTTTCTGCCATTTTGTCTTTCTTCTGAATATTAAGACATGAAGATATTGCACAACACTGGTCGTTAACCTTTTTTTCTTCTGATTGAGCCGCTCGTCTTTGTTTTGGTCTCGTGCATAGTTGCATCGTCGATGTGCATATTAATACTGCATTAGTTCCGGTCAGATTAGAGGTTTTTACGTCAGTGACGCTTCAGAAGTCAGGCAGATAATCTCAGTTATATTAAGTATTTGAAAGTGAATCCCTTTGCATGTCTAATCCTCTACTGTGAGCTTATTTCACCGAGATAGCTGTTCAGCCTTTGGCAGACAAACTGAGGTTCTGTTACCTCGACCAATGAGATTATCGCAGCTTCCAGAGCAGCTCTGCATGTGACAAATGTGTGCCTACCAGATTGAAATAAAAAAGCACAGGGATTTAATCTTCAGAAACTTTCTTTAAACACTTACAGATGACAAGAAACATCTTAATCCACATTCCTATTTTTATTCAAGATAAGTGTGGCAAATTCACATTTCAGGGCAACTGTCCAGTTATTGTGACAAACCTATGCTGCGAGATGAAGCATAGTGGATATTTATCAATGAAACAATCACATTTCATTTGTTACAATTTCAAGTAGTATATATCATTAACCTCTCCTCTACACTGTGTTCATCCTTAAGGGATTTAGTCCTGCTGTTACTGTACATTAATACTCATACTGTATATGATTATAATGCAACAAGTAGAATGTAAATATCAAAACTGCTATACAAAAAAAAAACAGGATGCACAGGAGATGAGTTGGAAGAGACGGCATTCAGAAACATAAAAAATACAAAAAAGGCACTTAAGAAGATCACACACACACAGGCACACACACACACACACACACACACACACACACACACACACACACACACACACTTACACATACTACAAATTCAGATTCTTGAGCCCATGTTTTCGCACAATTCACCTGAAAAGTTTTTTGTTTTTTACAATTATATCAGATAGACTTGGCTGGAGAGCGATGTAGAAACCCCGTCAGCTTGTACTAAAAAAATGAAAAGGCTTCACACTACAGGAGGAACGGTTGAAATCAGCGCTGTCGTACATCTCACATGGCTTTAATTTCACAGATAACGATCTAATGCAACCAGGACGTCTCATGAAACCAAAAATAAAAACCCAGAATCAAACAGACCTGCCTTAAAGGGGGATTAAAGTATTCTAAAACCTGGGAACATTTTTTAGATTTGCATTTTAGGGTTTAAATGGCTAAAAAAGTAGAACAAGTGTTCTGGATTCATGGATTCAACAGCTGCTTGGTTTAAGAAAATGTAACACAAAACAACTTAAATATCAAAGCAGTGAAAGACCACCAACTCCTTAGAGGTTTAAGTGTTGTTGCCAATGGAGGCTGAGCTTGGTTTCCAAAATAGGACCTTCCTCTTGAACAAAAAGCTCTGATTCTGTCCATAAAGTTGATGGGGATATACTTGCTTTCAACGATACGTATATGTACGCACAATGGTGGCCACGCTACCCCTGTATCTGTGTGGAGCATCGGCTGTGCGCGCCGTTAAACTTTACCTGTGGACAGAGTGCTACCTCTCCACTCTGCTTATTTTTTATACTTGACTTTGTTTTCACAGTCAAATCAGTCACTCATCTGGATTCTTTGTGCTGGAAAAGGTAAATAAAGGCTGTGTCTGCAGTTTGCAGCTGTAGGTTTCTCCTTGTCTGACACCTACCCTGCGGCAGAAGTTTCAGACATAAATAAAAAATATACAGAAATGGTCGATCTTTTTGCTGATGGAATCGTTTGCGTTTGTGGGTCATTAAGAGGCATTTACATTGATTTCAGCTCGTTCCATAACCATCTAAAAATTCTTCACAGGAGCTTTCATCAGAGGTATTTGACTCCAATGATTAGACTGAACTTCTTACAGCATGTTTCCTGGCTGATGGTTGCATCAATCAGCTGATCCAATGTTGAATTTTGATTGTACCTGTAGGATTTAAGGCCCCAAAACATAAAAAAAAAAAAAGGTCCCAGGTTTAAAAATACCAGAATTGAATTGCCTGTTTAAACATCTGCCAAGTCAACATTGGCTCTAGAGGACCATAAATGCTCTCTTCCTGACATTTCAGGATAATATTGGTCTTTTATAAAAAAAAAAAACTACACACAGGTAAGGTGATGCTGTGAGCCTCTGGCATGATGCGAGAGATGATTTGATGTCTTATCAACATCACATATCAGAGGTGATCGTCAGTAAAAGGCTTCATTTACTGGAAAAGCTGCTGACGCTAAATCACATAAAAGCTCCACTTTCAGAGGAGCGTCATACATGCTAATTATTTGACCCATTAAAGTAGAGTAATATGGAAATAATTAGAGGGGTATTTTTGGCATTAAAATTAACACATTTCTATAGAGTGATTACAAATGGATCCACTACATCACCACAAACTAGCCTGGTTGGAAACAGCTAATCGCAAAGGTAGGCTGATCATTTTTAGATTATATGTTGATGTTTTTACCCCAAACAAACAACCTTCACTAACCTACAGCGCTTTCGACAGGAAGACACAGATTGTCAAAAAAGTGCAACACACTACACGTCACGTTCATACACATTAACTTCAGTTAAAGTTCACGTCCCATCTCCTCGATAAAATGAGTGCGAGAGGCTTTTAGGTGACACACAACTCTGAGTGGCAGCTGTCTAAGAAGATACATTTTTCCATTTAAACATCATGAGTGGAGAAGATGTTTTTTAAAGGTAAAAACAACTTCAAGCGGTGACATCACTGCAACCAAAATGTCAAATCACCTGTAGCGATTTAGTTTTAGGGAGACTACAAAGATGGAGTGAAGGCAGAAGCCATCAATTCAAAATGTCAGCAACATAGAATATTTTCAAATGATGTCTTGCTAGTCGTTCTAAGTAATTAGAAATAGACTTTTTTTTTTAACAAGTTGCAGCTTTAGTTGTATGATGCTAACAACTGCTAGCTTATGTTGCTTTATTCAATGTTTGCTATCTAATCAAAAGGGCAACATTTCTTTGCATGGACAATGTTCTGATATCCATCTGTCAGCCTGTTTGGCCTCACACAGAGAGGCACAAGGCAGGGTCTGTTTAGAGTCTTTTTTAAATGTAAGTAGGTGTATTTAGCTGTTTTAACAGTAGCAGGTATCTGTTGTATTCAGCCATCTTGAGCAGAAATAACTTAGTCCAGTGAACCGCCGCTGTGCCAGTCAGTTAAGGAGAGGAGTGATGTCACTTAAAAGCCGCTCTATTCACCATATTAACACAGACTCCATTTTCCCCAGACATCACGCTCAGTGTGGAGAGGATGATGTCGTACTGCTGTGCTTTATTTCACCATTTACATTTCTCATACTAAACACAACACTGATATTTATGAAGTTAACTCTGAAACACGGCCAAAGGTCGGTCCATCATTTCCCTTTTCTATTGTGTTATCAGGAAGGCTTGAGGTGATACTGATTTGTTAGATTCTCAACATTTAGAAGACTTATAACTAAGAACACAGAAACACGACATCATCCTTTGGATACCAGCATTTTGAGCTTGGCATTAAAGGAAAATGGACGCTGTATAAATATGGTGATATCTTCACTGTTTCCTACAGATATCTCGTCACAAAATAGTCCACTTCTTTGCTCTAAAGTTATGTACAGTTCATGTGGGAGCAGCTACGTTCAGCTTTTGTACAAGTAAATTGCAGTGCAGATAAATATGGATTTGTGCCTCTTATTATTAACAACAGAGTGAGGATTTAAAGTCCAGAGTATTGCTGTGATAAAACTAGCCCGCACACTATTAATGTGTTCTCAAAAAAAAAAAAAAAACACCACATAATGGTCCTGCTCCCTCTCTTCACATTGTAGTTTTAACTTCACATCGCCGGTAGGAAGTGAGCTCAGCTTTCCGCTGCACAATTTAATGAGTACGCAGGACTGAGTTTCTCAAACCAAGACCAGACAGACGAGCCAATCAGCTGGCAGCTTGAGTTCTGAAGCGTTATTTAGTATCAGTAACTCCTTTCACTTCAGAGACCGTCCCAGACCAGAACATGAAATAAGGCAGTCTTTCTAAGTCGATCATATCTAGCCCTGATCAGGAAAGATGGTTCTGAGATGTGGACCAAGGCAAGTTAGTTACCCCTTATTTAAAACAGCTAAACTGCTGACCAGAAAAGAAATACTTCATAGTATTTTATGAAAAGCCCTTAACCTGGATTGTTTCTAATGACACTTATAAATGTGTTTTAGTACCTACATGATAATCCAGAAAGCTTCAGAAAGCTCCGGTATAAACGAAGATTGTTTCTCTACATCTAAACCAGTTAATTAAAAATACAGCTGTTTGTTTACTAGATAACAATCGAACCCCCCCCCCCGGTCTCTACAAAGGAAAAGTCTCACTGTAGTCGTTTATCTCTCCTCTAGCCCCCGCCATCATCAACGCTCCCTCCAGTCCGCTCATACTGGAGCCCAGTCCTGTAGAACCCTTCAGCCCTGCTCCAATCTGCTCCTGGCACATCATGGCATCATGGGAAGACACAATAATCCCTCTACCTGCAGATGGGCTGCTCTCCTCCCCCCTCCTCTGCGGCTCTGGCGTTGGCGCAGGCGCTCTGATCCCACTACTTCCAGCACCCATGCTCCCTCCGCCGCCACCCCCACCTCTCCTTTTAGGTGGTGGGCCCCAGAGGAAGGCGTGGGCGGGCCTGTAATGCTGGCGAGCGTAGCGGAGCAAGCGTCTGCGGGTGGCCGGAAGGCGGATGGTGTAGACAAAGTACTCCAGGACGCTGTGTTGCATGTTGGGAAGGGTGTTGTGGTACAGCGACTCCTGCAGGAACAGACGGACCAGCGGGGCCTTGAACGCCTCGTAGCCGAGCTCGCCGAGGGACTTCAGGATGCGCGTGACCCGCAGGTAATTGTGCTGGGACCTTAAAAGATACAAGAAAGACAGTAAAGGGGTTTTGTTCCTAACAATGAAATATTTGATATACATTCATTTGACGCGGTGTTGTATCTGCTATAAGGTAGGATTTCAGGCACACAAAAAGGAATCTAGATCCTCCGTGCATCAGATATAAGAGCATCAGTAAATATAAAATGGGATATTTTTACTAAGCTTGCTCTGTTTCCAGACAAGCTCAAGTCCATTTACCATTCATGGTATATAGAAACTATGCATATGAGGTTTAGCTTGTAAAATACGATGCTTGGTAGAGGAGAAAAAACATCCCAAATCTGTGATTTTCAATCAGTGCTTTGGCAAGAGAAAAACAATGTTTCATTCTTAGACCCTGAAACCATCAAAATAGGATGTTAGAGGGGGAAAAGCCTCTAACTTAGCCTTCAGCCATCTGTTTGTTGACTTTGCACATGTTATTTCACATTTGGACGCCGATAGAGGAACAATTAGGTTCCATTGGATTGAGAATAATGGCCTTGCTAAAGGACACAACAGCAGCAATTGGCAACTCTGCCATACGTTCACACAAATTCTGGCAGCAGTTTTTATATCCCTACGCTTCTGCACAATGTGTGTGTGTGTGTGTGTGTGTGTGTGTGTGTGTGTGTGTGCGCACGCTTACTCATTAAGGTGCTGGAAGCGCTCCTGCCAGTTGGGTGCCCGAGCAACACTCCCGCTCTTATCCAGCAGTTTGATCCCATAGAAGTCCAACATGATGGAGTAAGCTGCCAGAAATCTGCGCTTGGCTTCCCGAGTGCTTTGGAATTCCTGACAGGATTACACACAACAGATCAGAGACCAGCACACAGGTACTCTACAACCTTTCTGTTTGGCAGTTAAATGCGCTGGATGGCAGAGGTACAAAGGATCTACATGTAAATACACTCAGCACCTCACCAAACCTACATCTGAAACTGGTCAAACACGGTTTACACTCTTTACAGAGGAATTTATTTTCTCTAACCTGGATCCTATTTTTTTATTTCACATACTTTGGGGTCCAAATAACACTGGATGAAAGCTGCTGTTAAGTTTGAAGTTTCAGTTCATTGCTTCAGTTTGAAGTGGACTGTCTCTGCTGCAGAGTTCATCATAACTGATGACGTGTATATCACATGACCAGTTAGCAACCGGTGAAATCTTCATACATGTTATAAAGCTGCTTCATACTCTTTTCTGCTCACTAGTATATTCTTCTCCACTCCTTTGTTTATAAAGAGCTGATACATGCAGTAACAAGTAGAATTGATATCCAGTCATTATAGTGTCTGACTTTGCTTTACCCTCCATTTTGGATAACTTAAGAACTAATGAATGAAGAACAACTTTTGAAAATTTTAGGGGCGCGCTGTCCTGAAAGAGGTTTACAGGGATGCATGTGTGAAAATGGCTCATCTCTGTGGACATTCTTTCCTGAGCCTTCTTGTGTAACAAGTTTCTGCAGGGAATGCAACAACTTTCTAAAGTGCAACAACATTCACTACACAGTTATCGAAAATGTAAAATGAGGAAAGTTTCACTGGTTGAATGAAAGATGAACTCAACCATGTTAAACACTTGTGCAACAAGGAAGTATGAACAAACCAGACATGCAGCTGGAAGCTCATCAGGCAGCAACGTGTGTGTGTGTGTGTGTATAGAGTCTATGAAGAGTGTGTTTGTCTCACTTTGATCTCGTCCTGAGTCAGTTCATGTGCGTAGAAGTTGAGCCCTTGTTCTCTCAATGGGAACAGCCTGGTGAGTGGAGAAGGAATAAAAGATCAAGTTAAATTACATTTCTGGAAACAACAATACTAAACGAATATATCTACTATGTTACAATATAATAAGGTTTTCACACTTGCAGCAAACTCCTGATATTTCCAGGATGAGCTGTATATGTGAACGTAAACAGTTGCATTTCTTACTGCAACTTTACCAAGAATTTCTCCTGCCAGACCCCCTGACCCCCCTCCTGTCTGACAGGGATAATCTCCAGCTGTGAGGAGCATATAGGAACAACCAGGTCAGGAGAATACCCAGAGCAGTCCTACTAAAATTCTGGACATATTTTCAGGTGTGCATATTTGAAAACGGCTAAACTGAGTCATTCCACGTAACCTGTGATTGCTGTCAAAGTAAACATAGAAAGACAGTACCAGAAAAGCCTGTGTGTACATTTTTTTAAGCTAAGTATTGTAGTTAGGAGGTGGAGATTTTTATTTACATCGTTTTATTTTTTTTACTTTGTATGTATTGGTGTTAGTGGGGGACAGTGAAGAGAAAACGTACAGATTTGTCTCCTGGTGGGGGAAAAAGACTTTAAAGGGTGTAAAGGCGACGGGGAATTAGCAGACTGTCATTAATAAATCAATTATAAAATGTTCACCAGTCAGAAAGCACAGCTTGTTAAATCCCTACTTCTGGTGACATTCATGTAGCAGCTAGACTTCATTGCACACGCTTCAAAATGTGAGTTACTCTGACAGCTTATTTCACGCAATCATCAATGCAGTCAATTACCCAGAGTGAGGGTGAAGGAAACAGACGGAGGAAATGTCTCACCACTGAATGTAGGTGTGATTGTGCTCCAGTTTGTCATAGTCGCCTCTCCACTTTGTCAGAATCTCCTCGATGTAGATACCTGAGCAGAGACGGGGGATAATTAGCTGTCATTTCTAGTGTGTGTACTGTGTGTGTGTGTGTGTGTGTGTGTGTGTGTGTGTGTGTGTGTGTGTGTGTGTGTGTGTACTGTGTGTGTGTGTGTGTGTGTGTGAGTGTTTAAACATGGGATCAGTTCACTAAGCTGCCGGTCTTTCCCAGTCAAACATGACCTTCAGCCAAACAAAACTCACTAAGCCCAAAGCCAACACTGCTCCTCTGCACAGTGGCAGGACATCTATATACATAGTGTGTGAGTGTGTTAGCGCTACAGTGGTTAATCAACTAATCAATTTGTCAATACAAAGGAGAAAATCTGAAACTATTTAGATTTTCTGACATTTTTTGCATGGGAAATGACTGCACTGATTAATACATTATTATGTTTCCAGCCTCTTTGATACAGAGATTTTCAGCATATTTCAGTATTTACATCAATTTAAATGTAACGCTTCTGTGTTTTGGGCAGACCAAAAAAGTTAAAGGACTTTGAAAAACTGGACTTTTAAAATATTTTCTCATATTTTTAGACAGCATCAATTGACTAATCTTGACAAAATGTAGCATCTTATGCAGCTGATTATGCTGATCCATATTTAACTACACACATATAATGTTACATTTTGGATGTCCTTATTTAACCTCAGAAGTGGTTTCCTGCTGCTCAGAACTTTGCGAGACTTGGTATTAGAGCAAAGGATGGAGCAAAGTTGTGGGACACGCCCACCCCATCAGCTCTTTCAAGGACATGCTCAACTGGAAGCTCACTTAAATTTCCCTGCGACTGCAAACATAGCTGGCCAATCAGAGGAAAGCGGGCACGTGCTGAGGGGGGGCCTTAAAGAGACAGCAGCTGAAATAAGGGATTCTATTGACGCCAGTATCAGATAAATAAGGAGGTTTTTGATCTAAACTTCTTGCAATGCTTCTCCAATAGATGTCCTGGACTGACATAAGTAATAGTGAAAGTGAGTATAATAGATCTCTTTTAATGTAAAGTAAATGATGGTTTGTTGCAGAGTGTGTGATCTTACCATCAGGGACTAGAGGGATCTTGTTCAGGTAGAATCGCAGGTTACGGTACTCGTTGGGTTGCCGAGACTTTCTGTAGTTCTACACCAAAACAGACACAGTTAAAAGGGATCAAACAGGGAATCTAAAAGAGTCAGGAAGAAAATGTGCATATGTGCATTGCCTAGCTGCTTTCTAAATGTGTGTGACTATGTGTGTGGGCATGTACCGGGTAGCTATGACGGTATTTGTAGAGATCCCTGGCAGCGTAGAAACTCCTCTTCATCTTTGGAACAGACTCCGGGGATCCAGTCAGCTGAGAGGAAGGAAGAAAGACAGAGGGAAAAAAGAAAGAGAGAAATAGAGGAGTATAGAGAGGGGGAAAAAAAGGAAAAGAAACATTCAGTTAAAATTCAGTTCTCAAACAAAACCATCCCGTGTTTTAACAGATGCAGAGTAGCACTCATCCGCTATTCAGCTGAATGAAAAGCAGTGACTCTGCTTTGAGGTCGAGGGCTGTCATCATCCTTTTCTCTCTAGCAAAGGAGGACAGTTCACATCAGTGCTGCCGTACAATCTCAACAAAAGGAGGACCCAAGAAACCAGATCTGATCTCAAATAAAATCTGGGTCATGTTCACTTTCACTGGTCAGGAAGGCTTGCATTGTTACACTGAGCCTGTCAAATCTAACTCCATGTATACTTTATAATGGACAGAATAGGCACCTAAATGACTAATAGGTACAAATTGGAAATGTACATGTAGATTGTACGGCTGTGCAATTAAACGCGACTGAACCTTTGCAATGAACATGTTGCCAAAGTCTGAATTTGTTGCCATAAATAAAAAATAAAAAACACTTTTGATGTAGTTCAGCAATGCTTCCTCACTTTGGACGGAGGCCTGGGCATAATGTACATGCTTTCCTACCAATTTGATGCAGACAGTAGAAGCTAAAGCTAACTACCAGCTACCCTTGGATTTATCAGTGATAATTTAGTGAAGGAAAAAATGCTGTTATTGCAATATTGAAGAATGTTATTGCATATTTTGTTTTCATACCGTGCAGGTCTAGTAGATTACTTAAGCCAGCAGCAGGTATTGGGCTGTAATGGCTGCAATGTAATCACTGTATTACAAATATGCCTGTCCAAAGTACATCCACTAAAAGCTCCTGTGAGAAACCTTCAGTTGTGTAGATTTTGGCGAACCCTGTGGACAAAGTTGTACCTCTAACCTCTTTTCTGATCTTGTGTAGGTACTGTTTTTTTTTTCTTTTACGAAAATAATCTCACCTCACCTAATCGTGGAAATGATATCGCTCATTGAGAGTCTGCTGCAGAAATTTAAATAAAGTCTAATTCTCAAGTGTGCTGTAACACACCTCGAAACAGAGCCAGTGGTTACACAGAGATGACTAAATAGAAATAATAATAATAATTATAATAATAATAATCAGTCTCGTTGCTGATGATCTCATTTGCTTTAGTACGTCTTGTAAAGGCATTTGTATTAATTTCAGTCAGTTTCATAACCTTCTAAAAACTCCACACAGAAGCTTTAAGTGCAACTTTTTGCAGCAGAAATTGTTTTTCTAAATTTCTGCAAAGTTGAGAAAATGTTCACAAGGTCAAATGCTTCTTCACAAAGCAGAATACATTTTTACATAATATTTCTATTCAAGGCCAGCAGGCAGAGATTTTTCCTTGCTGAACACAGAAGTTGCTGATGAACAGCTGCATCGATCTGTCAGCTCGTTGGTGGTTTTGTTTGACTTTGCTGCTTTTATGGTTTGTTCTGATCCAACACAATATAGCTGTATAGATCACAACAACACAAACAGAACAAGGCTGTGTTTTCATTGGAAAAAACATTATCTTTTTTCACAAAATGTCTATCTGTAGGAATCCTTTCGTCTGTCTCTGGCAAAAACAATCACTTCTAGAGGACAAGCCTCGCTAAAACTCAAGGACTTTTTATACCTGAGTAGCCTGTAGTCTATTAGACAGTACCCATGTTTTATAACGCTGGAATTCCATTTTAACTCAACCAAAATATAATATTGTTTTAACCAATTCACCCAAAACCTCAAGCAATACTGTGTGATATTTCTACATTATTGTGACATTACAATCTACAAACTGATTTCAAAGACATCTCTGAATCTAACAAAAGAGAGTCAATGTGAAACACAGTTCCTCTGATAGTCCCATTATAACCTGCTGGTTTTAATAATCTGACACGGTGTGAAGTTATAACTCCTAACTGGGGCACAGGGACAATAATCATCATGAGGCGGGAGTCTAATGAAATATTTTATTTCCTTCATAACGCAGCAGGCAGATGGTGTAACTTTAATTAGAAAAGCATTAGTGGAATAATTAAATAAAATGATGTGTACATGTTTATTCACTAAAGTCATGCAGACCCCACATGGTGGTGATATAATACATTATCATTATTAATTAAATGCTTTTAAAAATTGACAACAGTTATAGTCAACAAAATAGCAATTAAGCTCAAGCGACACATCATTTGTAGTCTGCATAAATGAATCACTGCCTGGTGGATTAAATGTCACAGTGAGGACTATTCTAGCAACTAAGTAAAGTTCCTATCATGTGAAATTATATAGCCTATTTTAATACTTGCAACGAGGTTACATAAAAATGACATATTTTTGAATGGGGTTTGGCGGAGACAGCAGCATGTGAGTGATGTGGGCTGCTCGGTTGCCCTTTCCGTGTCCTGGACGACGCACAGTATTGACGAGGCCAACCTGGCCTCTGCCGGCGGCACATTTAACCGCATCATGCACCGGCTTTCTCCTCAACATTTTCAGACAATATACTGTCATTGTAGGTACCTGCGGAGACGAGTCGCTCTCCGCCGGGCTGATGGAGTCGGAGACGCCGCTGTCATCCTCAGCCGCCGGCTCGTCGCTCTCGGAGTCCGACCCCCACGTCGAGTCGCATTCCTCAACGGTGCTCGGCTCCTTGAAACGCCAGCTGCCCAACAGATTTCCCATCTAAAAAACATGTAGCACCTTCCCTCTTCGACTGTCCTCTGCTTTGCACAAAAACTCTACATTATTTAACTCACTACCTCGTATGTCAGTCCGCAAAGCGATGGGCTCACATTGCCCTCAGAGCGGAGCTTTTAAATGGCAGAAAAAAGGGGAATTTCCACATCAGCAGCTATGATGCGCGTTTCTGTATGAGGGGTGTTTAATGCAACAAAGAAGGAGGAGGTGGCTTTAAAGCTACAATGCATGGATTATATTAAACTAAATAAGAAATAACAATGGTTACTAGAAATCATATCAAGTAACATTTATTATGTGTCACCATTTTAAAGGTAGCCCTATGAAATTGCAGTTTATTGTTAATAGTCACCAAAGCTTTGGCTGTAAAAATAACAGCTTACTGCCATTACACAATCCAATGTAGCCATAAGGAATCTATTCATAGTTGCTTAAGTTATCTTTTCTTTCCATGTTCTTTGTTTAAGAAAATGTATGCTGTAACCTTAGGCAGATTCGCCTTAGAAATACATCAGCATGTACCAGGATATCCAAACACTGAGCTTTCTATTTCTTGTCTATGCAATGACATTCATCACTCGGCCTATTTGCTCCTGTGGTGCAGCGTATTCATGTGAACCTGTTTTCCATTTTTCTTTCCTATGAAAAGTACATTTCAGTGGTTTTCTCAAGATCTCTAATTATTTATCTTGCTACTTTTGGATAAGAACACTGGTTTTCTCTCTGATAACTCATCGACATTTAAAAAAAAAACGCCTAAAATCCATCCATTATTGACAACAAATGTACAAACCATAAAATGTCTAAAGGTAGTGAGAGTCCCATTATTTGTGCTTGTTTTAATTTTTGACAGAATTAATTGTTTTAAGTCTTTGCCCTTACTCAAATTTATTTTACATTTAGAGATAATAATTAGTAAAACGTCCAATATATAAAAAAATCAAGTGTGGAGAGTTTGGAGAGTTTGAACAATGACAATTTCCAGTTCAAACAGGTATTTTATGTATTCAAAGCAGTAGCGGTTGGAAAACTATTAAGACTGTTTTGCACACAAAGCACACAAAAAAGGTCAACAGCACAAAAGTACTGAATCCAATTCATATGGTGTCCTTCATCTTTTAAATGTACAATTTGCGACTTTCAGTCTCTAAGACCAAAACATAACTCCCTCTCCTCGTCCCCACTTGTTCGAACAAAGAGCAACAGTTTGTAGGACTGAGCTCCATTCTGCTACGCAGCTCAAAGTTAATTTGGTTTTCATTTCTTTGAAGTATTTTACAACAAAGCTTTTTCTTTTTCAGTTCAGAAAGGCTGTTGGTTCTTTTGCAATTCTTGAAACAAACTCCACCAATTGTGCCTCTTAAAACAGCCCTAAGAGTCTGGCTGTCTCCCTTCCCCCATGTAGTGCCAGGGCTAGCAGTTGGAGAGGGAGAGGTTCATGTGAAAAAAAACATGTATGCAACATGTCTGGGCCTCTGTTTCAAACATTAACAGGCTGAAGGAAGCACAATCCAATCAATGTGAACACAGAGCTGGAAACAACAAACCCGGGTGGAGTTTGACTTCTCCCTTTTTTAAATATAAAGTAATTACTCAATCATATATTTAGGTAGGATGTATTTGATATCCATATTAATGTTAAATGTTGCTTATAATACCTTTTAGATCAACTTGTTAACATATAGACAGATCAGGCTTGATGCTTGTTTTCCAACATTTATTCATATTGAATTTATATTGTATGCTGCCCATTGTTCCTCTGAAGATATTGACACAATTTAAAACCTAATATTTTATTGTTCACAATGTTTCTGACATACACTTTTTAAATACTCACTCTACTACTGTGTGGCATTAATTACCCCCTATACAGCATCCCGGTAACAGCAGCATCAGGACCAGAGCTGTGTCATGTGACCACAGGACATGAGGAGGGTATGGTACCCCCACTGAGATTATCAATGTCACACCAGAAACAAAGACAATACTGCAAAGATGCTCATTTTGTACAACCCGAGATATCTTTTAAATTATTGTATCATTATCTACTGACAAAGGGAATCGATATACAATTAATTTAAAATTAAACATATTAGTGCAGAAAGGTGCTTTTTCAGAAAAAGAGACTGCCAAAGTCAGATGTGTGATGTGTGATCTAATATGTAGTGATTCTGCAGTTCATAATATGTTACCTCTAACCTAAATGAAAATGAAATGAAAACAAGTGGGGATTTTCTCATAAATAACATGGGTTTCACACTTGTTCTTGTTCACAACAATAGACATTGTTTGTTACTTCTTTATCTTGTAGTGAAGTAATTCCTACAAAGACAGTTTATTGCCCTTCCATTCTCATTCCGAACTTGTACTTTTTGTGTTTCCTTTTTTTTAAACCTTCACCCTTTTATTATACACTGGGTCTAAATGACTGCAGACACACATGTAAAGTCATTTAATTAGTAGATTGTTTCCACAGGCAACTGTAGAAGAGGCTGAAATGACTTCAATGCACTACTTTGGTAATGTATGTCCACTAAACATGCTTGTTATTGCCACTGGCAGGCTCACTGTGTTATATGTCAAGAAACCTTCTTTACATCACCCTTCTTCAAAATGACAAGTCATTTTATCTTAAGAACATAGGAGTGTCTTGTTTAAAGCTGCCTGCAGTTGGTAGAAACAATACTTTTTACTGCCCCCTCTGGGAAATGTGTCTTTGATGTGTTTTTGGTGTGTAGCAAAACTGTTGTGTTGGAATCTTGTTTTCTTTTTATGGCACCAAAATTTGAAGATCCCACAAAAACTAATAAACTGAGTCGGCAACTACAGTATTCTGCAGCATAATATTACTATTTGAAATCTGTGTAAAGCAATAAAAAACATCTTTCCCAAGTTTGTTATACTAAATATAAAAAGTTACAGAGCAAATAAGATTGAGTTTCACTCTCACAAAAGAGCAAGCCGTTGGGAAGCTGTTTAAAGGAGATCTGTTACACTAATTAATGATGTCAGTCTGGGACGCCTATTGGGGTAGCGTTGTGAGATGTGTAGCTCAAAAACCTTCTTATTTATCTGATACTATAGTGTCAGTAGAATCCCTCATTTCAGCCTCTGCCTGACGTCAGGTTCTGGCCAAGTCTTGCAAAAGTTCTCATAACATCCCATTCAGAGCAGCAACGAAACCACGACTGGGGATTCTGCCTACATCTGGGTATGTTGTGTTAAAAAAACTTTAGGTTTAGAGTTGGAATATCACAACAACTTACAAACACATTTTCTCTGAATTACATTAGTATCAGCCTTCAGAAGCACATAAGAGTCCAACTCTGGTTCTGCCTGCAGGTCAACCGCTGTAACACTGTGAAGGGAACAGACCTGCAGTGAAAAACTGCTGTTCTTGCCAGCTTGAATGACACCTGTGACATTGAAGAGACTCTGATCATAAGTCTTTACAGCCCTCCTGCTGAGGCTGCTGCTGCAGTGGGTGAGAGTGAGTTAGAGAAGTATGCGTCAAGTCATTCGTTTGGTCAAAAGCAAAATGTGCAACGTCAAAGTCAAGTGAAACTGAGAGATTAGGTAATCGAGAGTCAATATCAACAGCACAGTTTCTGCATGTCAGCAAGTACAGGAACATAAGCAATGGAAAAAACAGAGATTTTTAGTGGCAACACCAACACTTTTAGTAAAGACTTTCGATTTGGTGCATTGTACCATGAAATATGTGTCACTTTGAAATTTGATTGTGTCTGTCGGTCATCTGTTCCCTGAAAGACAAGCAAGTGGAAATAGGTCCAAGTTGCCCTTGAATTCTTCTATTCCTCTGTGGCAGAAAGCAGAATGTTCAGCTTCCAAAGTGACATGCACTCTGGAAATTAAAAATTACATACTACCACTGGGGTATAACCTCTAGCACTATTTTACGTAAAGGAAGTTCAAAATGAGGATGTATTTACAGTAAATAAAAGACAAAAATGGTCATATTTGTTTCACAATATAGAGAAACAATATTTGATTCTCTTCAGTTTGCTAACCTTTATGGGTTGGTGGGAATTCTAAATACACGTGTCAATTCAGAAACATGAAAGACCATCACTAAAACTGATAAAAATCATGAATAAATACCTCATATGAAAAGAGAGAGCGAAAGGTTGCGAGAGAAAGAGAAAGACTGACTGTATGCTTAAAGAGGACATATTATCACCCTTTTCTGTCTTTTCAAACAGTCCCCTGTGGTCTAAATGAAACATCTGTGCTGTGCTTTGGTCAAAATATAACTTGAATCAAGCACCAGAGGAGGTTTGTGACCCTGTAAAAACCAGCTCTCTCAGAATGCTCCGTTTTGGTGTGTGTGTCTCTTTAAATGCAATGAGCCCCCCCTGAGTTTTCCCAGTAGACATCACTCCTTCGCTAGCGAGAATAAAAATGGCGGACCTGTACAAAAGTTTTGTTCTAATCTCGGGGTGGAGTCCATGGGTGGAGATACCAGGGGAGGGGAGGGGATTTTTTTGCCAGAATCCCACTGTGACATCACAAGGCGAGCACATTTGAAACAGAGCATTTTTCTCTGTGTTGTAAGACTTATGCAGACCACAAACAAAGGACTGGATGGGTTTATTTCACATTTTGTGGGTCGGTAGACACTCAGGTTACCCAAATATATGTTCAAAAACACTGTACAAGTGGATTTTTTTATAATATGTCCCCTTTAATGTATTCTGTATCTGTTAGTACCCAGGGCTTTTAAAGTCATAACTATACTATAACTGTTCATCATTTGTTAATAGTTGAATGAAAAATACTGTGCATGTTTCAGTTTATTTGTTTCTACACGTTTTGAAGGTAGACATGCTCAGAAACTGCAGATGGAAATGAGCTCTTAGGTTTATATTCACTTAATTCAAACTGTATTCAAATCAAGCAGCACTTCTTAATAATTGTTTTAGGTCCCCATGAAATTAAACTTCGAGAGTACCAAACCCTCATGTCTTGTTGTGACGTATTTCCTCCTGAAACAGTATAGAAACAATAATAGAAGGTGGGACAAAACATTGGGAGGAATTTGATTGGATTATTAGCTACGACAAAGCCTTTTAATTGATTGAAAATTAGTAAACGTCCCTGAGTGCAGGATGAGTCA